GCATGGAAAACATTAATAAGCATCAATACAATATAAAAATGAATAACAAAATATTCACACAATAATGTAATGAAAAATACAGAATATTCATTTGGTTGTTTGTTCTAAGAATAAGAATATTCATTCAAATCTTCGTCCTTTGTACTGTTTCCATGTATTTTAACTTGTTTTAATATATATTTGTATATAATGAATATTATCAGTCTTGTGTTTTGTTTGCTTTTCTTTGCCTTCTTCTTTGGACTTAATCAAAGTCCAACCTTTTTTTATGTAGTTGGGCTCGGCAAAAGGAGTATCTGAACCTTGCATTTTTTCTTCTAAAAATGACTTCTATCAACAACATAACCGCCATGAACCCTCTATTAAGTGGTGACCCTTCAATGAAAAATTTTTCAACTCCTCCTAAAAACACACAAGAATTATTATATATATGTACAAAAACAAACAATTTCTTATATATACCTTCACAAAAAAAAGCCAGATAGGAAAAACATTGAAAAATTTTTTTCAAATCCTCTTTTTCCAAATACTAGAACAACAATTACTACTATTCAAAACGAACCTGAGAACTCTTCCCCCACTGGTCTATTTTGGTTAACCCTTTCTTTCTCTTAATTAGTTTGACCTAATTTCACCCAGCAGACATGCTTAAGGCTGTACCATCTGGGAAACAAAACAATTTTTCTACTAGCCACTGTTTTCTTCTGGACTGAAACAGATAAAGTGAACCCAAACCACTAAAAGGCGATCCACTGTCCTTTACTCTCAACAACATTGGTGATTCCAACATGGAATGGTACACAAAAGTTTCATTGGAATGAATCTACAACTTTCTCTGGATTTTATCAATGTTCCATTTTCGATGTGACATCACTGAGGATTTGCATTTCATTTAATTCGATTTTTTAATCTTTAAATTCCTTTTCTTCCAACACATGCTACTGGTCATAGCAATTCGCATCTTCTTCCATTCTGAAACTCAAAAAAATTATCCTATACATTTTCCCTACAATATTTTTTTCTTCAAAAAAACTATTATGCTTCCCTTAGAAAACTATTTTTTTTTATATAAAACTGTTTAAAAAACATTTTCAAAATTTCTTTTATGACGACAACACACTTTTCCTTATCATTTTTCATCTCAACCATTCATTCTGACATATTAATTAAAGCAGATGAGAAAAATTCAGAATCTTGATAGAACTGTGGTGAATACAAAATAAAAATAACTCTTTTCTCTGCTGTTTTCAAATTTGTGAGCCTACGTGAAAATTTATTTTAACCAATAGATAAAGGCTCTGAGCTGAAGAAAAGACTTGAGGCAATGTTTAACAGGCCTATGTGAAAATTTATTTTGGCCATTGGAAAAGGCAGCAGCTTACAAACTGAGAAAAAAAGTAACAAGCCGATGTGAAATCGCTTTTTGATATAAATAAAAGAGAAAAAAAATCAAGGCTGAGAGATTATAAAATTTTCTTAAAATTCCATGGATCTGGATAACACTGGTGTCAAATTAGACACTGATACATTATAATGATAATAATAATAAATTGCCCTGCTCTTCTAATGAGAGCAGGGCAATTTCAAAGAACTCTATTCATCTCCAAAGCGAAGTACCTTAAAATATATCTTGTCATTCATGTTGAATACAACAGTATAACTTTTATGTTAAAAACGAACTCTCTCAATTTGTTTTAAATATTTTGGAATATTACTTTGTGTCCAATTATTTAATATGAACATTTTCTCTTCTTGACAATTCATTGAAACTAGGAACTTTAAATATTTGATTCCTTTTCCTGAAACAAGCTACTGACAATTTCAAATGTGTAAATTTGGAAATAAATTCCTTATCTTGTCTCATTAAATATAACATGTGTTTCCTCATCATTATCCCAATACTTTAGAAATCATAAGTAAGTAACAGAAACAGCAAGGATTAAACATTGGTTTAAATTATACTGTTTATCTTATTATGAATTGTAGATCAATTCTATAAACAGTTTCAAACTTGAAATTTGTTGGTTGATTCATTTCCTATGACGTATCAACCACTTTGCGAGTTATTAAAGATCAGAAAATAAAATTTTGATTATAAGAACTTTTTTGGTGGGGGAGGTAATAATGGTTTAGTGATACAAGTTTTACTAATTAACCCATAACTGGGGAGAGAAGAGGTGGATACATACTATACGGGAATACAGTGAACCCAACAGGTCTTTCTGATTAACAATTCCCAGCCATTATCCATTCCACTACGCATGCATCCAAGCTTACAGCACCTGGTATTCCAAAGAGGTTACCCATAGGTACTAATCAGGCTTGACATTGCTAAACTTTGGTGATCATACAAAGACCAGCATTTCTATGTGATGTATAAAAAATTTTGAAATTTGAAAATAAAAATAAAGTACAGATAACTCTATAAGAAGTCAGGTATCAATTTGATACTGTATTTATATTATGAACAGGGTCCCCACTTTTTTTTTTTAAATTGGAA